CAGAAAATAAATAGAAACAGAGACAAACCTAAGACACTTAGAAGACATAGCATTGTGAAGCAATGATATAAGAACAACAACAACAAAATAACATTTAGCAAATAATAAGTTTTTATAAATTAGAAATATAACAGCTAAAAATAGTCAATAGGATTGGAAGACAAAGAAATACCCCAGAACTCATACACACACACACACACACACACACACACACTCTCTCTCTCTCAAAAGAAAGAAAAATAGAAAGGACATTTAGTACCATATGTCCAATAAGATTTACAGATTAGTAGAGGAAGAAATCCTGAATTTAAGAAGAAAGAAAACAGATTTCCTAGAATGAAAAATACTGGGAGCTGGAAGACAGTAATACCTGCAAAATTCTGAAAGAAATGTTTTCCAACTTGGAATTCTATATCCAGCCCAAGTATAAATCAAAAATGAGGACAGGCCAAGATATTTTCAGTTATTTGGAACCACACACAAAAAATTATCACTTTGGACACCTTTGCAGGAAATTTCTGAAGGATGTACTTCATCAAGGAGTACAGCCAGGAAATAAGAAAAAAAAAAAGAAATTTCTAATAAAATGGAAAAGGAAAGGAAATTCCTAGAATGGTAGCAAAGACAAGTCCAGGATAGCAGGATAGCAGTCAAAGATGAGAAACAGGTCCAACTAAGAGCAGGATGGAATACTGAGGGGGCAAGTAGGAAGGTTAGATCATGATAGGTGTGATGTAGAAACTCCACTGTTCTTGCCTGGAAAATTTCATGGACCAAGGAGCCTGGGGGGACTACAGTCCATGGGGTCACAAAGAGTTAGACACAACGGAAGCAACGTAGCACACAGCATGCACAAAGAAAACTAACGCAATGGATGTGATTATTCAAGGGGGGAAAAGCTGCAGAAAAAAGGGAAACATAATTATAGCATATTGCAGCTCAGTAGTAACAAAACTTTACAGTCACAAAAATGAAAAGACAAGGTGTGGATTAACCCAAAATACTATCCTGGGATAATGAGGGAAAAGGGTATAAAAATACTAATTTCTCTTCTACCACAATAAGACAAATAATTAGAATAGCTGTAACAAATATAACATTATGTGTTGATTATACCTCAATTCTTTAAAAAGCCCAAATTATGATTAAAATTTCCATATTATCCAGAATATGCATATTATCCAGAAACATGTGATTTGACTAATACACATCATTTACAGCCTTTAGAACTATATAACTTTTTAAAAAGTGTGTTACTTTGATATAAAATTTTTGTTTGAAAAACAAAACAAAAAAAATTGAACAAAGTTTTTTTATATTGGGGATACAATAACAAATTAGACAAAGTTTATGCCTTGAGGAATTCATTTCTACTGAAGCAAACAGACAAGTACTGTAAACAACTAAACTTATATTATTACAAGGAGTGATGAGCTTTACTCAGGAAAACAAGGTGGGTAAAGACTGAATGTTGGGGTAAAAGTGGTCAGGGAAAGGAAGGGCTCTCTGAGGAATGACATTTGATCAGAAATCTGAACCATTTGAAGGTATGGATAAAGCAGGTTTTAGAAAACGGGGCAGACAGTGATAAATTTAAGTCTGGTGTGTTTAAAACTGGCAAAAAATCCAGAATTAAGAGCAAAATACTAACAGGAGACATCAGATGTAAGCCATCAGAAGTGAGTAACAGTAACAATGCCATACAAATTGGCTATCATTGCTCAAAATGATAGCATGAAATTAACCAATGAGAAGGAAATGATGAGTTAATGAAATTAAAATGTCATTGTTCTTTGATTCTGAAAATGAACTACAATTAAAATCATATTCTATTCATTCCTAAGAGACTTGGAAAGCTTTAAAAAAAGGAGAATGCTCAATTTCTGAGGTGACTCTACATATGCATTTTACCCAGGCACAACCTTATTTTATTGCACTTCACAGGTATTTCATTTTTTACAAATTGAAGGTTTGTGGCAATCCTGCATTATCAGATGATGGCTAACAATTTTCAGCAATAATTAAATTAGGATATGTACATTGTTTTTTAGACATAATGCTATTGCACATTTAATAGACTACAGTATGGCCTAAACATAACTTTTATGTGCATTGGTAAAGAAAAAAAACTGTGTAACTGGCTTTTTTGCAATATTCGCCTTATTCTGGTAGTCTGGAACCGAACTCAGACTACCTCTGACATATGCTTGTACAAAACACATAAACAACCACAAAGATATACACAATAGTTTGCAAAGATAATCAGATTTAAAATTACTTCCTTCATTGATAAGTGCATTGAAGTAATAAGTCTCCTAGCTTAAAATAAGGAAACACAAAAGTCACAGAGATTAAGCATGCACTTTGTCATAGCTTTATTTAGCCAACACGTGCTGTTATTTTACTTATTCCCACAAAGGTATCCCATTTATGAGAAGATGCTTGGAAACAAACGTTGGAAGAAAGATGAGGGAAAGGACTATTTAAGGCAAGATAAGCAGTCCTCAAGTCCATCTTTATATTCCAGTCATCTTGGCACTGACGCCCAGGGCCACTCCTTCCCCTTCTGATTCAACTGGTCTGAGGTGGGGCCTTGGGCATATCATTCTAATATGCAACCAAGACTGAGTAATTTGAGTATCACTGGATGTGTCATAGCGGTGAAAATGGAAAATGCTGAGATTGTCAGAATACAAATAGAAAGTAAAAATACAGAACTAAAGTATCAATCTGATCATATTATTCCCCTGCTCTAAAAATAACATATAAGGACTAAACTCTTAAAGGGCTCTATGGCTAGCAGGTCTACACACAAGGCCTTCTGTGATCTGGTTCTCCCCATTACCTCTCCAACTTCATCCAGGCAAACTAGGATACAGCCAAACAAAACCATGTACCCAACTATCTCATTCCTCTCCTTTTTGCATATTAGTACTTCTACTCAGACTGCTTAGCATGCCTCGTAAACACCTATTTATCACTGAAGTCCAAGTATATCTTTTCCTGTAATGTCTTCTAGGAACGACCTGAGAAAAAATTTATTGCCTCCTTCTCGGTGATCATCACCACGCTTTTATGACATTATCTGTGAAATAATTTACCATGCTGCATCTTCTTTGAGTACTTTGAGAGCAAGGAACTATGTTAACTTCAACTTTTCTGTTTATTTTTAACCTTTGTCTCTCCTATGCCTAAATCTCTTGTCTGGCTTTATGGCCTATGACTAAATGTTAGTCGTATGAATGAATACAATGACAGAATAACCATATGTAGTTCTAAATTTTCTAAACAAGGAAGTTAAAAGGAAAAGAAAAATTCCTAATAGTAATGGGAATTTAAAAGGACGAAACAATTATATGACTTATAGAAGTAGCCCATTGAATGTCTTTCATCATCTGAATTTTCCCTCTTCATCCTTCATTCCCTTCTAGTCTGATTAAGAAGCCTCAAAAAAAATGATAAAACAGGGTCTTCCCTGGCGGTTCAATAGTTAAGACTTCACCTTCCAATGCAGAGGCTGTAGGTTCAAGCCCTGGTCAGGGAGTGAAGGTCCCACACGCCCCAGGACCAAACATAAAATGGAAGCAATACTGTAAAAACGTCAATAAAGACTTTAAAAATAGTCTACATTCCCCCAAAAAACTGTAAAAAATGATAAACACAGTAATAAAACAGAAAGGAGAGAAAAGGGGATGGGACAAATTACCAGAGAACTCTTAAACTATGAGAAAAGATAAGCAGGTAATTATTAATCTCTATACTTTCATACACATCTTAAAATGTTGCTTTACATAGTAAATTCATGTAATGAGGATTAGAAAACATACACTGCTGAAAAAATACTGTATTAAAGTTATGGATAATATCCACATGGAATTAAAACTCTGGCCACTTTGAAACCTGCAGTAATTCCGTTTATACACACACGTATATGTGTATGGATATATCCATCTTTATTAACTTGTAACCTTGAAAAAGAATATTTTCGTTTTCTTATCGATCTACAGAACAAGTGACTAAAAGTCATTTCATTCTTCTAACTTCTTAAATCCAGAAAAAATAAATCACACTAGCAATAACTGATTGCTACTATCATAAAACACTGGCTTTTATTATGCCCGGATGGTAAATGCAAAATAAAACTGTTTTAGAACTGGTTTTAATTACTGAGATAACAACAGTTAAAAGAATGCCTAAAACTTTACCTATAGCCGGCCCTTTTGTCTGGGTATATTCTCTTCAGAAGCCATCACGTCTTATTTACTCTGACTGAGAACAGGTTTTACAACTTCTTGGCCGTTTGGACTTGCAACTTTGAGACATCTCAGAACCAGTTTCTAAACGAATCACGGACACGCAATATCCTTCACAGAACCAAAAGCACTGAGCTTTTCAATATCGAAGAAAGGAATAAAGGGTTTAGGACGAAGATTTCCAGAAGCCCGTGTGTCTCAATTCATTCCCAAGTCCGGGAAAGCAGGCGAAATCAGAACGTGACGGCTAAATGGATAAAACAGCAGGGCGGAAAACAAAGCAGCACTAGTAACGTTTTTTTTTTTGTTGTTTGTTTGTTTCTTTGTTTTTTTAAGATGATAGGTTTCTGGGCGAACACATCCTGGGGAAAGACTTAGGATACTTAATTAGAAAAGGAAAAGGCCCTCCAAATGCCTCCGGGTATCATTAGGTTGCTTTCCGCTTTCCTTTGGCAAAATTTCCAAATTCTTGGTTTGGATCTCAGGACACCAAATGCCCCCTCTTCTGACTTTCCATTTCTCGCAACTATCATTCCGTTTCTCGCAACCATCACTTGCACCTTCTTCCAACCCAAAACAGTGAGTTTCTACCCACTCCCTCGACTAAGTCACTTCCCTGCGTCTCAGAACGTTTGTGTCCACCGAGGGCCCTGCCTTACCTTCCCCTAACCCCCACACAGCTGTCCCCTCCAGCGGTTAGACCCTCTGCCTCGGATTCGAGCCGCTGCGCAGCTCCATCCTTCTCACCTTGGTTACAGAAGAGGCTCCATAGTTTCGCGAAGATCAGCCCCATCATGAGCACCTGGGCGGGCCGCGGGGTCCCTCAGCAGCAGGTGCCGCTGCGCCGGGCCCCCCACCGCGGGGCTGGTCGTGGGGCACCGAGGGAAAGCCGACTGGGACCGCGCGGCGAGGGCACTGGTTGGCGGAGAAGCCGCGATCCGCCGCTCAGCTACCGTCAGAAGGCACTGCGCCGAGTCCCTGGCCGAGAGTCCTTTGTTCGAGCCCACTGAGCCCAACGCCGACCCGTAGTCCCCTCGGTCTGAACCCACCTACCCACAAGAGCTTCAACCAGCCCCAAGCCCCGCCTCCGCTCCACCTCCCTTCCCGATCCGTGGACCACCCATCGCCGGAAGAACGGCGCCGGACGTCGGCGGGCTGACGTCAGCCCACGCCTTCGATGTGGCGTTTCCTCAGTTTCACTTCCGGTGGGCGGGCTCCGCGCTACCGGAGGGGTGGAAAGCGGGGTTGTGCGTGGAAGTCGCGGAGTTTCCCGGGACGAACGTTTCTTCCGGCGTCTTCCTGTTTATAAGCTGTTGCTGAGTTACCTTTCTTGAGTTTCTGCTGACTAGCAGGAGCCTTCCTGGTCCTTAAACCTGGGTACAGACTACAGTTACTCTGAGCAGCTGCCGTTTGCTGCACAAAAGGGAGGAATGTTTCAACTGTCAAGTTCAGACTGGCGGGCAAGCTTCGATTCTGCAGTGATTCTTAATTCTGAATAGAATTGATTACAAGAGGATACATGGAATGCCTGTAAAAGCAGAGTTCGACTGTGTGACTAATTTGTGCTCTGTGTGGTCTCAGTCCTATCCGAGTCTTTGCTACCGCACAGAACCCCGCCAGACTCCTCTGTCCACGGGATTTTCCCTTCCGGGCAAGAATACTGCAGTGGATTGCCATTTCCTTCTCCAGGGGATCTTCCCGACCTAGGGATCCAGCTCTCCTCTCCTGCGTCTCCTGCTTTGGCAGACCGATTCTTTACCGCTGGCATGCTTTACCTGGGAATCCCATGCGATTAGTTTAAGGTTCCCCTATTTTCCAAAGTATTCGGTGTTTTCGAGAATCTCCAGCCCACAAAATAAAAAAGCTTTTTTTGTGAAGTGTTGATTGGAAATGAGTTCCTTTAGTTAAAATGAATCCTAGGAATTGTTCTTTACAGTTTAACAAAACAAGAATAGCTACAAAGTGCAAAACAAACTGAAATTTCAAGGGGAAAAGTTGGACAACTAGGAATTATAAAAATGTTTATTATTATCTATTATCTAATGTTCTTGAATAAGAACTATGGACTTTCCTTGTGGCTCAGATGGTAAAGCATCTACCTACAATGTGGGAGACCTGGGTTCAATCCCTGCGTCTTGAAGATCTCCTGGAGAAGGAAATGGCAACCCACTCCAGTGTTCTTGCCTGAAAAATCCCATGGACGGAGGAGCCTGGTAGGCTACAGTACATGGGGTCGCAAAGAGTCGGAAACGACTGAGCGACTTCACTCACTCACTCATTGTAAACTGACTTGAGAAAAGTCTTGGAAGAATTGGCTGCACCTGGAATTCAATTCAATTATTACTCAGTTAACTAAGAAGTCCGCATATATATAAGCCAATTTTCTACATACTAGTTTCATTTCCTCGCCCCCCCCCACCCCCCACCGTCGTTAGGTTTTAACAAATATGATCGCTTCACAGATTGGGATGAAATGTAACAAATACCCATGAAGCTGAAGGAGAGAAATAAAAGACTATGGACTTAAGTGGTAGATTTTAACCTCAGCAGCAGGGGCCTTTTGAAGCAAACTATTTTATTACTTGTACAAGTATAAGTGTATTTCTTATTATGTGCTTCCAGTGTTATGTTCAAAGACCCTTTAAGACTTATATGTAAAATAGTGTGTTTCAACATTCTGATTTTAAAGGTAAGTTTAAATCTCTCATACAAAAAGGTATGTACTAGGTCTATGAAAATCAGTTTAATTTCATGACCCTGAATTGGCCCATTGTATATATGTGTATATACAGCAACCCCATGGACTATAGCCCACCAGGCTCCTCTGTCCAGGGAATTTTCCAAGCAAGAATACTGAAGTGGGTTGCCATTTCATTCTCCAGAGGATCTTCCCAATCCAGGGATCAAAACCAAATCTCTTGAGGCTCCTGCATTGGCAGGCTGGTTCTTTCAACACTGTGCCACCTGTGAAGCCTCATATATATAAATTTATATTCACTGTTTTTGTGTTTGAACATAAAGTCTTAAAGGGACATTTCTAGTCCTAGTTTCAAGATAAAGTCAAAACAACTAGGGAATTAAAAATATTTTTAAACTACATATTTTTTTAAATTATCTTTTAATTGGTGGAAAAGAGCCTTCCAGTTTTGTGTTGTTTCCTGCCATACAACAACATGAATCAGTCATGATTATTTTAATATATGTCCCTTCCCTCCTGAGCCGCCCCCCATTCAACCCCTCTAGATTATCACAGAGCTCCAGGCTGGGCTGCTTTTGTTACTTAGTGATTTCCCACTACCTACCTATTTTATACACGATAGTGTACATATGTCAATGATACTTTCTCAGTTTGTCCGACCTTCACCTTCCTCTTCCTCTATGTCCACAAGTCCGTTCTCTACTAGATTAATCAATACCATTTTTCTAGATTCCATATATATGTGCTAATATACAATACTTGTTTTTCTCACTTAACTTTACACTGTATAAGAGGCTTCAGGTTCATTCACCTCATTACAGTTAACTCAAATTTGTTCCTTTTAATGGCTGAGTAATATTCTGTTGTATAAATGTACCATTGCTTCTTTATCCATTCATCTGTTGATGGACATCTAGGTTGCTTTCATGTCCTGGCTGTACAACTACATATATTTAATATTCCCTACAGGGAACTATTCGGAGAAGGCAATGGCACCCCACTCCAGTACTCTTGCCTGGAAAATCCCATGGACGGAGAAGCCTGGTGGGCTGCGGTCTATGGGGTCGCTAAAAGTCGGACACGGCTGAGCGACTTCACTTTCACTTTTCACTTTCATGCGCTGGAGAAGGAAATGGCAACCCACTCCAGTGTTCCTGCCTGGAGAATCCCAGGGACAGAGAAGCCTGGTGGGCTGAAGTCTATGGGGGTCACACAGAGTCAGACACGACTGAAGTGACTTAGCAGCAGCAGCAGAGGGAACTATTATAAACTAACTTTAGATAAAGCTGAACTGGCCACAGCTGGAATTGAATACAATTTATTCCTCAGTTAACTAAGATATATTGCATGCATAGCTTTAAGGATCCAGGGACAGGATGTTCTGTTGACTAGGAATGAAACTTAAAAAAAAAACTTCTAAATCTTAAAAAATTATATTCACTGTTACCTTAGAATTCTCCATCAGTCTTTCATGTTTCTGCATATCTTCTCATACCTTTTTGTTTTTGTTTGTTTGTTTGTTTGTTTTCCATTTATTTTTATTAGTTGGAGGCTAATTGCTTTACAACATTACAGTGGTTTTTGTCATACATTGAAATGAATTAGCCATGGATTTACATGTATTCCCCATCCCAGTGCCCCCTCCCACCTCCCTCTCCACCCCATCCCTCTGGGTCTTCCCAGTGCACCAGGCCCGAGCACTTGTCTCATGCATCCATTCTCATACCTTTTTGATTTGGACTATCTTTTCAAGGATATTTGTATAGCAAATATTTTTTAGAAATTTAACATCCCTCTTTGGGGCAGAGGGCAGATTTGTTGACTCATCATGATAGTAGAAACAATGTCTCCCACTGAGAAAAGATGAGGCTTTCAGAAAAGATGAGGGATAGGTTGGAGGGAAGCTCATAGGTGGGGCTACGAGCTGAACAGGTTTAGTCATTCTACCCCACAGTCTTTGGGAAGGTGTGAGACAAGGGCCCTCCTTGAGGTTCAGGGGAGGGGAGTTCCCAGAGGGGGAGAAAAGATAGGGCTTTCCTAAACAGGATTCCTCTCAAGCTCTACAAGCTCAGCTCTCCTCTGCAAGCATCAGCTGGCCACCATTGCTTTGTAGGAGTCAGGGCTTTGCGAACAAGCACAAGTGTTACTATTCTGGCTTCTGCTATTGCAGTGATTAATAAACTTTCCTTTGACTCTGGCGCAGGAGTCTCATAGCTTCTGCCAAGATCTATGATACTGTGGTATGCTGACTTGTTTTCTAACGAATAAGCAAAACTGTAGACCCTTCCCAGTTGTTGGCGGTTTCAGTGACAAAGATGGAATGCTAACAAGACATGACTTCCTGGAACAGGAAATATAAGAACCTCTCCACAGTCCATTTAGTCCATTTAACATGATTTGGATTCCTAGGAGATCAAACCAGTCAATCCTAAAGGAAATCAACCCTGAGTATTCATTGGAAGGATTGATGCTGAGGCTGAAGCTCCAATACTTTGGCCACCTGATGCAAAGAACTGACTCACTGGAAAGGATTCTAATAGTGGGAAAGATTGAGGGCAAGAAGAGAAGGGGGCGACACGGGATGAGATGGTTGGATGGCATCATCAACTCAATGAACATGAATTTGAGCAAACTCTGGGAGATGGTGTAGGACAGGGAAGACTGGTGTGCTGCAGTCCATGGGGTCTCAGGGAGTCGGATATGGCTTAGTGACTGAACAGCACCAGCATGATTTGAAAAAAGGACTTGGATTTAGTAACAGCTATATTATTCAATCCAGCAATAAGTAATCTCTACTCTCACTGAGGAGGAACTAGGGATAAGGCTGTGAACTGAGCACTGGGAAGCAGGTTCAAAGACAGCTGCCTGAACAGTGACTTGATTGTTGTTATCCTTGGGATGAGGGCTAGAGGGTCTATATGATCAGCTTCACACCCACCCTAACCAATGCTAACATTCACCTTGGCTTAGAGGAAAGTTCTGATCCTTTTCAGACAACAATTACAGAGACACTCACCTATGAGGGAAATTTATGTCTGCTCTGAGTAGAAATCTTGCAAATTTACGGAACTTTGACTGATTAGCTTGGGAGATAA